CTAGTTGAAATAAGATTCTACAAAAACAACTGAGTTTGATCAAACAATTGATATATATGTTAGTTAGTCATAATTGATTTATTCTAAACTAGAAAAATATGAAGAAGAAATATTTTTCAGAAAAAGAAACTTAATTTAAAATGATACTCCAATACTTAATATGAGACAAAAACCATATTCATATTTGATTTAGTTCTTTTTGTTTGAATTCTTCCGTTTATTTTGATTTTCTTTTTGATCTTTTTTAAGTGCAACAAGTGTTCAGGTCACTACTACTGCATCATTAAATACAAATAGAAGTAAATTCTGAGGTGAAATACTAGTTATAACCATAGAAAACATAAACAATGCAGCTAAATATCGCATATTCACGGAAAATTTAAAGAAAATCACAGCTGTTTCTTGAACCATGATCAAATAATTAGTACCAAGAATAGTAGCAAGTAAACCGGTCACACGAACAAAACTATCATTATCTGCTTTCAAATCCAATATAGTTAAGATATGATGAGGAAAAAAGCCCATGACCACACCACCCACAATAATTAAGTAACTACCAAATAATAGCACACTGATCTTAGTACGTCTATAAGGAGTAGTAATCGAAGATGACATTTTTGTGGAACTCACATATATTTTCAAAGAAAATAGTGATTGTAAGTTTTAAGGTCAAGGTTTCACGACTTCTTCTCCTCCCTTACAGACAGGCATCCATTACAGACCGTAGCAACTTTGTCAAAAAAAATTTTCTGTTCGAAATATAGAGATAAAAAAGACAGCATTTTCTAATAATCGATTATCTTTATAAAAGAACTATTATCTTTTGGAGATTTAAAATATTGGGTATTTTGTGATTAGTATAATGAAACCAAAGAAGATATGCGAGTCCCACATTTCATCCCCAAAGGGACTGCGCTAACAAGCTTTTTTTCAAATTATTCAATAGATATAAAGACAATAACTATCAATTTGAAATAAACAAATGTATATCTGAATAAAAGAAGAACATGTAAATGATTTCAACAAACTTTTTTGAGAGAGGCAAACATTATTGTCAAATCTAGCCAAATGGTTTATTCGCCAGTGATATAAATAGAAAGAAAATCTTTTTTTCTTTTCATTAGAGAAGTTATGGAATTGATTGTTACAAAGATCTTGTTAGAATCATTCATTTTGATATTTCTAGTTCTAATTGTAAAGTTTTCAGTAATATAGAATAATCAGAACAATTTTACTTTTATTCGTTCAATAGTGAATGTATCAGTACAAACATTAATTTTCATATTCCGAATAAGATAGAATCGATTTTTGTCAAACAAATTTTGAAAATCAATAAAATTTTATCATAGAATTTATTGTAAAGAAAAAAATCAACAATGTTGGATTTATCTGTTTGCTTTTATTTTGTTATTTAGCATGAGGTTATTTGAAAATGATATGATTTGAAGGTTATCAATTAATATAAAAGTAAATTATTAAATACGCTTACCATGCTAATGAAGAATATACAGAGTAGGAAATAATATTATTCCAGGGGGGTACTGCTAGAATTTCAAATAGAAGACATAAGAAATTTTATATCAAATGAAAGCTTGTTGAAAATAGAGTTTATTGGTACTAAATCGTGAAGGTAACGAAAACTTTTTAATGTCAAACTTAAGAAATTTTCAGAAATTTTATGCTTTTTTTGTGGTGGAAAATTAAGGTGGCGGTAATTCAAAAACGAAGTAAAATTTTTTTCTTGGATATTTTTACACGACTCCATCGAGTTTGTTGAGCTCTACATAACTATATATATCAAAAAATTTTTAAGGCGTTTCTTTTGCAATTAAAAACTTAAAAACCTACTTGGAAAATCTTAAAAAACTCATATTTTTTATATGGAAGAAAACCACTCGATTTTTCAATAAAATTAGTTTTTTTATATCATTTTCACTATCTCAGGCGTTTCAAAATACACTCATTTGATTTGGTGCAATTTTTCACGCTGCATTGAACGAATATATTTTGGGTGTGGGTGGGTGTCGATGAAAAGAAGAAGTGAATCCATACCCACCCACACCCTTTATTGATCATCGAAATTCAGCATTGTTCTGCAAAAGATAAGAGTCTGAATAATTCTAACCTCAATGATAAATCGTCTCATAGAAGAAAGTTACCGCTAAAATTAACCATTCGAAACAGTTTACTTTATTATATATTACTAATTACATTCATCGTGATATAGAACTAATCAACGTAAATCTAAACTCAAATGTCATTATCATTATGATTATGTCAGTTGATCCAATGTTTCTAAAACTTTGATATTTCAGAAAGTTTTCGATCGAGTCATAAAGAGAATATTTATCAATCCTATTTTGTTTGTTTCTAGAATATATTCATTCCATTGTATTCGACAATAATCATATTTTTCAAAAACTTGACTTGTTTAACAGTTTGTTCAATGAATTATAAATATTTTCTCAAATGATCGATAATGACTGTATAAAAAAACGATTTTTCTCATGATTACTGACAGATTTTCTTAATAAACAACCACATCAGTATATTGAAATTGTATATGAAAGTAAACTTCAAAAATAATAACAACAATAACAATTCATAACAGTACAATGCAGTTTAATATTCAATCTTACTAGGGTTTATGTGGAATTTTCGACCACTTTACGGTCATCATCAGCACTACAAGACATCACTTGTGACCTTACTCACTAAAAAAAATTTTATTTCGTACAACATTGACTATAAAATGGAAAAGTATAGTAAATCAATAACTAGATGGATAAAAGGGTGTGAGCCTTGTCTTTATTTCCATCTACACTCACACATCCACAGTCATATTCATACTCTCATTGAAGAAAAACTAATTTAAAAGAATGAAAAATAATAAGTGAATAACACCTATACAAGCAAAAATAGGTTGCCTGTAGAGAAAATAAAAAAATTCTATTTGAAATGCAGAAATTAGAAAAGTACTTACTCTAATGTTCGATTATCTCGAAAAACAAACTACAATCTACGAAAGATGTTTGACTTCATATATTTTGTATTAATTTGACGAGGCTGGATAGTATATGTTAGTTCCACTTTTCAGTTCCAAAGACGGCTGCGATAACAAGCTTTTTTTGCTTGTTTTAACTTAAAACAATGCAAAACTGATACGTTTATATTGTTGTTTCACATACACTGATATCAAATTTTTATTGATGATTGAAAGTCGCAAGAGACACAACTGAATAATATCTTCTGATTATAAATGAGCATTTTTATGATTCTAAATAATGAACAAGTAAAAGTAAAAATATTCGATCAAACTAACACACCATGAAAAATATTGTTGAAGCAAAGCATAAAATGTGAACAGACACTTGCTTCATCAGTGAATAGCTTTCTCTGTGATTTCTATTTGCTTAGCTTCATCAAGAGAAATACAGGAACAAATATCTTTTCTTTTTCTGTCAATTATTGAATAATTTTGATTTTAATAGAAAATGGTGATACATCTTCAAAAGACATATTGGCTGTATTCATTCATTCATAAAGATTCATATCACTTAGGTCATTTGTTTTTCTTTCATCTGAAGGATGCAGAAACAGTGTCATTACCTTGAGAAAATGATACCATCAAAAATATACTTAAAAATATCATGTTGATATATGACCGATTTCTTGCAATACAAATGAAATATATAAATATTATTAATGTGGAAAATAATGGTTGAAGAAAGAAATATCAATGATTTAGATCGAGTTCAAGTTTATGATTAACTCTAGAAAATAATGATGAGTACTGGAAATTTGTATTCATTTATTTGTAATGTATTCATTTCATTAAATACCTTTATTTTTTATTATCATTTTTGCCATCAATCATATCAAAGATAGATGGCTGTTTTATCCATGAATATATTATTGTAGAATATATGGTTGATTTTTTTTTTTTTTTTTTTTTTTTTTTTTTTTGATTTTACTACTTATATGTTGCATAAGAATGACAATTATCTACGTCTTCTCTTGACATCGAACAAAGTCTGTTGATAGTTTTTTTTTTCAGAGATCAATATGTTAGACCGTCATACCATCATTCTCGTTCTTAGTTTCCTGTTACTTTTGCTTATTTACGAAACATCGTAAGTTACGAATGCTTCATGATCATTTTTCATCTTAATATAAGTTCATTAACTAGATGCTAGTGGATTCGTAATCAATCGATTGCTTATTAAAAAGAAAATAAAAACAAGAGAAATTTAGACATAGTAAAGATGCTGTACATATTCTCTATATTTCAAAGATTATTATTATTATTATAACTGAAAATAGTAGAGACAAGAACGTGTATGTATTGATTTCATATGAGATGAAGAAAGAAAGAGAATCTATTCTGTTTCATTAATCAATATGCTCGAAAACGATAGGGAGAAGATTTTTGATTTGGTTTTTTTTTAATGAAATATGTTGAATATCGATTTGAAAATGTCATATATACGAGATAAATGAAATTTTATTTATATTTGCATATTTAAGGTTCCATCTTGTTGCTCTTACCTTATTCTTTCTTGGTGCTTTACTGATTGTGTTCCAAGCTCCTACTTCGGAATTATGGCTTCTAGCTGTCATTACAAATGGATATTCGATTAGCTTTGTTGGACTTACAGTAAATAACTACCGACTAATTTCTATGCAGTCTCATCTACATTAGTTGGAACAATGCTTGGTTTAATAGCCTTAGTTTTGTCTCTATTACCCATTATAAACGCTTATTTTATTGCTCAAAAATTACCATCTGATTTGGAACAAGCTTTTCGACAAATGAAAAATGTTACAATCAGAAACAATCAAAAACTTATCAATAGACCTTTTAACATCTTTTAACTCTTACAAACTGTACCAAAAATATCGTTTCGTACATTAACATATATGTAACTTATAGTGATGCTACTTTGACTTTGGATTTCTATGGATCAGTCATGACAGGTAAACGATCTTGTCTGATTGTCATGCATGGTGGTTCTTGGAGTGGTGGTAACAATAAACAATTGCCAGAACTCAACAGTCATCTAGCACAAGCCGGTTATCATTGTGCAGCTATTAATTATCGTTTAGTTCCACAATGGAAATGTCCTGCTCCAATAGAAGATACTGCTGCTGCCTTAACCTACTTACGTCAACATGCCGATGAATTGAATATTGATCGAAATAATTTTATATTACTTGGTCGATCAGCTGGTGCACAAACAGCATTATTAGCAGCCTACACACTTTAACAATCTAGTATCAAAGGTATCATCGACTTTTATGGACCAACTGATATGATTTGGGGATATATGACACCAACTAATCCACTAGTGTTGAATTCACGACAAACATTACCTAACTATGTTGGTGGTGATTATTTCGAAATGCCAGACAAATATACAGCTAGTTCACCAATTGAATTTGTCAATCGACAAACTGTACCTACTCTTATCTTTCATGGTCTCACTGATTCACTCGTACTCGATGAACATAGCCATCGTCTTGCTGCTAAATTACATCAAAATGATGTACCACATTATTATCTTGAATTACGATGGGCAACACATGGCTTTGATTACATTCTAAATGGTTCTAGTGAACAACTGTCAACCTATGCAATCGAGTATTTCCTTAATGTCGTTACTAGCCGATAATAGACTTTTTTCTAACGACTATATAGTAGTGGCAAATAAATACTCATTAATTTTTGTCATATATCTGTTTTTTTAAGCATTATTGTTTAATGTATTAGATTTTTTTCAATCTGAAATCGATGTTTATCATATTAATATTCGTTTTGATTAATTGAAAAACAAAATACATAACAAAAAATGACCGTTTGTTCTCTCTAGCTCGTTCGAAATCGATCACATGTACAATATTAGAATCAACTTTGAATTCAATCCATATACTTCTTCGAATCAAATAATATAGATTGCCTTTAACTATGAAGATTTATTCAAGAAAATTTTTATTTGATTTTGTATTTTGATCATCATGATGTTTTTATCAGTCTATGATAGTGTGACTAAAGCAGTACGATGTAGAGTTTTGATGAAGAGAAAATTGTCAACATTGACTAGTTAAAGTTTACATGACTTTCAAGTATTATTCTCTAATGATTTTAATCTGGGAAACTTCTAGAATAGTTCAATGTGTATTGATCTATAATTTTAAAGATTATGATAATTGAAGAAATTTTGCCGCTGTTTTTGCAAACCTAAACATTTTCATGTGAATATAAGAATGAAGGCAATACATTCATGGACTCTCCTCTACACCGTCAATCTGGAACATCTATTATGGAATCAGAACTCTCGATGTGGGAGAAGATGGAGTGGGCTAGCCCATCCCATTTTTCATTTTGTTTCTAGGAAAACGTTGAGAAATGCCCTAGCCAAAATTCAACTCCTTCCACTACTAAAAGAACATCGAAAGCCTTGTATGAAATTAATCGAACCTAACCGTTCCAAAATTGACATCATGCGTTTCAGGGATGAAATCAAACAACGTCTTGCAATAGATAAAGTTTGATAGATGCATTTTTCCAGCCAAATTGATGAAAACTCGATGTGAACAATAAACGAACTCAAAAATAACTGTTATCTATAAAATATAAGAGAACGATGAATTCCTCGTGATTAAAATGTAAGAATCTACACTGAAATGTTTAAGTGTCAATATCTAAAGGTGCTTTTACGGTTAGAATACAATTAAATTGCAATTAGAACACTAAATCAATTTGATAAATAAATGCTCGAGAGAGCCTTGCTTCAACACCTAAATTCAATGTGTATACAATATCTGAGAGAAAATCGATCATAGTGCCATGAGATTGATCTTACAAATCTAATCTAATGAGCGTACGTTCGAAGTTTGCATTTTCTTTCTATTTGATTTCCTGCCATAAGCAATCTACTAGAATTGTTTGACTGCAATAATATCGTATTCAGCATCAAGAGAATGTTTCTACTGACAAAGCAAGGTCTACAAGTGATGCATATAACTTCTTAAGTCGAGACTATATGCATCATATATGCGACGACGAGCTATGAACGTTGTGGCTGGGGATATAAGGTGTAAGGTGTAGGTGTGGATGGGTTGTGAGGTGTGAGTGTGGTGTGAATGTTGGTGTTGATAAATTTAAGATCAACACTCATATCCACATCCCACATCCACATCCTCTCGGCGAACTTTGACATACAATATTGAGGTTTGTTTACACTTGAGGGTGTGGGTGTGGGACGCATTCAGAACGTGGCCCACATCCACACCCATACCCTTTTTTCGTGTCGTTATTAGGGATTTTGACTCTATTATACGGTAATTGAAACAAAATCATAGCCGTAGGCGAGAGAACAATAAAGCAAGTCCGACAAGGCATATTGAAGCGATTATCTTTATAGCTGCACCTCGTCCAGTGCCTCCGCTGCCATCTGTCAGATTGTATTTGATCAAAATTCTCATCACTTCATCGACTGTTGACTTCGTGTTGCACAAATCTTTTTTGCATGCTATTTCCAATGCTGTATATTTGCTCTCAGAGTCGTGGATATTAACTGCTATTGTGTTGTTATCGGATTGCTCGCATCCTTGAGACCGAATGACATGTGACCATTGGTTATAATTGATTAGACAACGCCCTCTCTTCCCATTATTTGAAAGGCATGGGCCAGTGTTTCCGCTCGTGTGATAAGTATCGTAGTAACATTTCAAGGAAGTTTCCGGTACTCCGGATAATAAAGGTTCTGCGAGAAGTTTTGAAAGATCTCCGATGAGTTGTTCAGATGGAGCGTCAGTTCATGTCCATTCTCATCTGTAAAGTAACTTTCAATGATGACATCATTTTCGATCAATGTTTGATAATACCGGGCACATCATAATTTCGAGCGATCATTTCGGGAATCCTTCGTTTCAGATATTCAAGAGCGCAGTCATCTGTACTATTCCAACAAGTGCGTGTTATCGTATAAAATAAATCAGGTTTGGAAGTGATTTGAATATAGTCTGAGTTGGTAAGAAAAAGTAACTCAGATCTGTTCGGAAAGTGAACTGTGTATGTTCGATGAATGTAGTCGAAAGACACCATAGCCTTACAACCGATGGTTGTATCACGCTTGCACTGCGTAGTGTCTGGAATGATGAAAGATTGATTCATTGAATATTTTAGCGTACATCCCACTGTGCATAATCGACTATCAACGATCTGCACAGCTACCAAAAACGACACGAGAAATATGAATATTGACATTGATAGGAGAAGAATAATGATGTTGATTATTCGAAAATAAAAATGAAAATGAAAAAAGACTTTTCAATGGACCGTCATCTGCACAGATAAGCCTTATTTGCCCACTTAAATATAATCTTTTATCGTTTTATAACATGAGTAATATGCAAGGAAGAAAAAAGGACGTTTGAAATGGTGTCAATAAAAAAAACTGACTGAAAAGATAACCTATGTAGCCTCTTTTTTACCAACTGCGTCGCAGTTATGCGCACTGGGATCAATGCATCGTAGTTGCGTGTAACTGCGAATTTTTTATCGCAACTGCGGCGCATTGATCGCAGTGAAAATCTCTATCAGAAACTACGGTTACTGCGACGCAGACCAGCATAACTGCGTCGCAGTAATCGCATTGTATAATCCGCTGTAACTAACGCCGACCAATCATAAATCACTCCTTCTTATTTGTAATTGGCTACACCCCAGCAGTACAACTTAGCTAGAGAAAGACAGTATAAAAGGCCGTGTCCATGACACTTCGACTCATAACTCATTCTACCACGAAAGATAGATTATATAATTCATAAATAATTTTTCTAATTTTATTTTATTTTTCTTAATTTTTCTAGATATTAATTTTTTAATTTTTCTTAATTTTTCTAGATTTTAATTTTTAATTTTTCCTATTTTTTTAATTTTGATTTTTTTATTTTTGTTAATTTTTTTTAATTTAATTTTTTTTTAACTTTTAATTTTTTATTAATACTCTAATTTTTTCTATTTTTCTGTTTTCTTCATTTGTCTTTTTTTTAATATTTCAATTTTTCCTAATTCTCAATAAAGATATAATAAAATGAAAATCTCATCTATAGCATCTCTTTTAGCAATTGTGACGTAGTTGCGCCGCAACTGCGATCACACTGTGACCCACAATTTCAGAAAACTGCGATTTTTCCATTGCAGTTAGGCGCAGCTGCGTCGCAGTTTGACCGCAACCGATTACATGGGAATTGTTCTTCAACCCTTTGTCAAACAAGAAAAACGATTTTGGTCAAATTTATAGCTCGTTAGATCGATCAAGTATGTGCGTTCGAATGCACTATACTTTATTGATGTTGTAATCAGATTTAAGTATATTAAATATGTTTTTCTGAACCCTTATGCAGAAGAAAATAACATTTTCCCTAAAACAGATAGCTTTTGGTTGGCATTTTAGAGAACATGACATGTTCATATGTAAACATTAAAAAAATTCTCTCATGAATTTTTATATGCGTTCGTTCTACTCCATAATCTATGAAAAATCACTTTAAGACACATTTTATATCAGTTTCTGAAAAAAAACATGGATTACAATGTTGAAGGGTGGGTGTGGGTGTGGGTGTGGATGGATGTGAGTTTCATTTGTCTCTTCTTTCAAACCCATACCCACACCCCTGATTTTTGTCGCAAATTAGTGTTTCTTTGAAGAAATGATTTTGCGCAAAATCATATTCTCCATCATATGTTCGCTACCAATATGACTTGGCAGACTAACAATGCATAGATTTCTGGATAATGAATGTTTCTAGTACTAGATTTTATATACAGTAAAAGCTCCAGTAGTGAGCACCTCTCTAAAGTGAACACCTCCTAATTATGATCCTTCTTCGGTCCAACGGAGCGATTTTTGCTGGAAATGCCTCTCTCTAATGTGAACACTTCTAACCTCTGAACAGTGGACACCCTTTTGCGGTTCCTTATGACATTATAATCTCTCTAACGTGAACATGTTTTTCTGACCTCTTTCTTTTTTTTTCTGTGATCTATTTCTTTTGCACTTCGACTAAGTGCATATTTTGAATAATTTATCTGTTGTACATGTGAAGTGAAGAATGACATCACGACACGAGCTTACTTTGCAAGAAAAGATACAATTAATTTTTGATAATAAAGATGATAATGGTTGATCACAACGTAGATTAGCTAAAAAATATAATATCTTACTTGGTTCTGTATCAAATATTTTAACAACAACCACAATTACATTCATTGATTAATGAAATTGAAGTTAGATTAACTGATATTTATAGTGACTCAAAAGCAAAAAGACAAACAACATTAGATGACTTGTTGAAAAAAAACTAAGTTTTGTATTGTAATTGAAATATCTTTTAATTCAAGTCATTCCGATGAAAGTAGGTGAACAAATGAATAAACAAGCAGAATTTTATCTAGGACTAACGTAGGAGCAGATTTCTGGGACATTTTCTTCTTTTCTCAACAAAATATACTTCAACTCTCTAAAGTGAACACCTCCGTATAGTGAACGCTTTTGAACGATCCCGATGGTGTTCACAATAGAGAGTTTTACTGTATATTAATGTTGGAAGCCAAAATATGACAGAAAAGATCTTCTGATAGGAAATATATCGAAAAACTACCTCG